ATCATGACCAAACAGGGACATGATATCATTTTTCGATTATAGATTATGGTCATTATGATCTCAACATTTTTCGATGACGTCAACCCCTAGGGTATTCTGACGTCACTTGCTCCATGCTAACTGAAAATAAACTATGACATTGTCCTTTCTTAATGAGATGCACGACGTCATCGGCGTTAATTTATGCCACCCAAAAAGTCAATTAAATCCACAAAGAAAAGGTTAATTCTGTGCCTCTACCACAACTATTATACCTTAATCAGTTCACTTTATAAATTTTTGTGGCTGAAAGAGAACTCATTTGTGCACATAAGACTTGAAGAAAACTCACTCATGACGTTAGTGGCTATTTCAAAAGAAACAAAATATTATGACGTAAACAATAATAAAGAGCCCTAACTCAGAGAGATTCTTGCAATGAAGATTCTGTGATCAGTCGTGATGGCCTTGCGTTTTTTGCTTCATGCAGAAATCTTTGCCATCATGGTTTGTCTTTAAATGACATTAGACAGCGTCAGGACGTTAAAAAAATTACGCCTATGACAAATAACATCACCTGTATAAACTACTTCAGACGTTACTTCCGATATTCCAAATTGGTTGGTTGCACGACAAGTGTATTTCCCCAGCCCTCTCTTCATTCACGTTTCCTATGGAGAGGCATCCATCCTGCTGGAAATATGGGAGCGAGACAAGAGCTGTTCCTGATCGTGACCACACCACGTAACCATCAGCCTCACAACAGAGCTTCACGGTGGATCCTATGGCCGCAAAAACTTGAGGTGGAGGCTTTCTTGTAAATGTCGGTGATGCTGCATTGATGTGATCAGCGGACAAAGATATAATGGGGATTTTTTTCAGGTTTCAGTGTATTAAGATCTGATAGAGTTGTATCTGATATATCTTAGTAATGACAATCTCAGCCAAAACAACAAGTGGTAAAGAGAACCCACAGGTACCTTAAGCTCACGAGTGAGCGTAACAGAAATATTATGAGTTACATGGAGTTATATATGTAACGAACAACGGCAGAACTAAAACTCCCTGGAATCGCCCGGAAACTGCCAAAAATGCTAAGAAAACACCATAAATTTAGACAAGGAGAAAAGGTAAGAATTTCTGATGTATTTATATTGTTATCTTTTACACCGGAATAACGATCGCTTAAATCCCCGTACAAACCCTTATGATGTTTCCGTAACGCAACAACGATTGTCACTCGTGAGCTTGGGGTATCTGTGGAGAACCGCGTCGGAAACAAACACAAAACAACAATTTTGCACGTGTGTTATATTTTTTCAACTGCATTTCTATGCCATCATTGCGAGGCAACGACATCACCTAGGAATTTTTCTTTCCCTATCTAAGCTACAATCTTGGACAAAACTGTTGAGAAAATTGTATACTTGGACCGCATTTTTCTAAACATCGTAGCTGTATCGGTTCCTCCCTCTCCCCCTTTCCCCGAAAGCAATGTTGTAGTGTATTCAAAAGAAAGCCTGATCCCTGGGCGTTTGTGGGAAGCAACATTGAATTGGGGGAAGGGGTTTTCTTTCCGCAAAGGCGTCGTTTTGGAAATAGTTTAGTTGCGTAGGAAAGTGAACATGACGGGGAAAACTTTCTCAAGTAGTTTTGTCCGGGATTGTAGATGCAGTCCCTAAATCCTGGTCTATCGTCTTGACCACCTAAGCCGTTTCCAATTGAAACACCTCTATGTCGCGATCCGATCCGAAAGACGGCAGTCTCTTACGCAGCGTATTTTGTGACGATCAACTCAAAAAACGGCTGAGAAGAAAAAACCGAATAGGACGACAGAGACAAGCAAAGAAATCGAAGATCGTCAAGAAACGATCATCTCAAACGGCCCCGAGAAATGGAGACGATCCAGACAATTTCATTATAATCCAGTCATTAGAATTCAACTCCAAAAAACAAATTTTGATTGGAATTGCATCTTAAATTGAATTATACAGTGTTATAAGAATATAGGAAAACAACGACATTTATAACTCTCTTTGTTTTACCATAAAGTAATTATCGTCCCGCAATAAAGCCATAGAAGGAGAAGTGTCTTACCTTTTATTCCTAGAGTGGTCACTGCTCGGAATATTCCATAACTAGTGACGACCATACACAAGTATGATCCAGTGTGTGATCTTTGGACATTATTGATATGAAGAATACCATTTGTTGTACTAATGTCACGGAGCAAGTTACCTTGCAACTTGCGCCAGGTTATTTTCTTAAACGATTGACCTTGAACCCAACAATAAAAGGTTGCCGACTTGTTTAGAAGCACATACTGAGATTCTGGAGAAACAAATATTTTGGGAGGAACAACACATTCGCCTTTTGGTCCTTGAATACCAGTAAAGCCCCTGTTTCCTTTGTTTCCTTTAAATCCAATAGAGCCTTTTTCGCCTGGTGGGCCCATACGTCCAGTGTCTCCTTTTGCTCCACGAGATCCTACTCCTCCCACTTCACCTTTTAGTCCCTTGACTCCCTGCGACCCTGTAGGCCCTTGTTTTCCCCTGATGCCTTGAGTTCCATTGACGCCTTTAGGACCACGAGGGCCAATTTTCCCAGGTGCTCCTTTCTCTCCCTTGTATCCAGGGTACCCATGGGCACCTTTTTCTCCCTTAGGTCCCTGTTGACCTGTTTGACAGAGCTTATCAGCTGTGCTGCACGCTTGAGTAAATTTCTTGTTGATTTCCAGGCGAATTTGCTGTAAAGATAATGCACCAGCTGTCGGGGCTATATTTCGTCTTTCTCGTGGATGCTGACCTAGAACGCTTTCTACGGTTTCTTGAAAATCTGTTTTGAAAAACAATATAGGAATTCACCTTCTGAGCGTCAGATTTCAAGTGTAATTTCACACGACATCTGTCCTTGCCCTGATACTATAAAAGTGGGAACTACATACTCGATACTATATGTTAGGTTTTAACGCCGTGCATACAAACTCAATCATTTTAGATAAACATACCTTAGAGATAACATGAGATGAGGGGCGTATGGTATACCAAGATATAAACTTTAGGTGGAAACTTTATTTAAAACCTATACTAACCCAGCTGAAGCTGATACATTAACATTGGACATACCTCTGCATTAATGCAGAGGTATGTCCGCACTAAACCTCATGCATGAAAACACTGGCCGTTAACCAAATTTAAAAGGATGGGTTGTTTTTCTTCTCGTCGACAAGAAACAATTCTCCATGATACTCAGTAAATGGTTGAAAGTGATCTTTGCACTAATGAGTATATTTGTAGACATTTAAAATAAATAGAGATGACAATGAAGTGTCAAGCTGCAAATCCGTATTGTCAGTGTTCTTCAGTGCTTGTGCGTACGTCTTGACTGTATTAAAAAACACTGGTTCTGGACTTACCCGCGCTTGCATGAACTCTTGAATCTCCTTTCATAGTTTTTCCCTCTGTCAGTAACATCTCCTTCACAATAGTCTGTACTTTCATTTGCATTTCGTCTTCGATTCGCTGAATTCGCTTTTCAAGTTTTGCTTCCATCACCTCTGTCTTCCTATGTACAACCTCTATCCTCACAAACATCAACCCAAAGAGGAACAACGACATAGCAAAGATCACCAATGATTCTTTTTTAGAGAACTTGGGAAAACATGTTTTGGACTCTTTTTCCATTGTCCGTGGTGGATAGTGATTCTTGAGCTGTGTTTGCGACGCGAACGGAAATCAAGGTCTGGCAAGACTATCATTTGCGCAAGCTCTTAACCAAATATCGATTACAAGAAGCTGTAAACAATTTATTAGTAGCTATATTAAGGACAAGGTATGGCATAACAAGTGTCAGTTTACTGCTAAAAGGTATCCTTTTGAGACCTCTAAGATTAATAGCTTTTGCGGCTGACCTTATCGGCGGTTGATAAGGATAAGCAAATATAATGAAAAAGGCTTTATGTCATGCAAAGCAAATGATAACATTCAGATGAAACATTGCCAAATACAAGACAGGGCCCACAACAGGCAATTAAAACAACCGACAGATCAAAGATCAAAGTCATCCCGTCATGGGGGAACTTGGGTCTTTTCGAAATTACATGGACTTCAGTATTATTTTCCCGACAATTTTATTGCGAAAGTGTCTGATTTCTCTCTCCATCAAATTGTTGACTCTGAAAACTTTAGGTTTCCTTTTCTCTACGAAAACTAGCATAGTAACCTAGGTAGTGAAATGTTAAAAATTAAACTTCAGAATTCGAAGGGAATTTCAGTTATTAGATAAGCTTCGAAAATTCTGCATAAATGGAACGGTCATCTAGAACTTTTTAGCCGTCTTCAAGTAATAGAAAATTCTAGGCAATATTTGCTTTTCCGAACACATATTTTACAGAATTCAGCTGTTGGGTGCCCCTGGCTGATGCGCGCTTTCTTAGACCAAGCAGCTCACGTTTTTGACCTTCAGGGCCAAATGATGAGTCAGACAAGGACATACAGTTTGCCAAATTTAGCCTTCTGATAAGTTTCGCTGAGACACTTAGCATTGCTGCGGGCATTTTCCCCATTTTGTCCCAAATAAAAATACTATTCATGATCCGAAAATGACTATGTATGTGGCATTTCACTCTCTAACGATTTACCTAAGCCATACATTATTCTTTATCATTCACTTTTAATTTTTGTAGTCAGCGATTATAGTACGCACGTCATTTAATCAGTTGTCCTTTGGCCCTGTTTATTTGTTTTCTTCTTTTCGGCAGTTTTGTTTCTTTCATTAACACGTACACATGTTGGGCTAGCCTGCCAGCAAGCTCTCCATTTCATCGGGGAGTCGCGAAAAGTCATGCCTGAGCGTCACCTGACAGGAGACACGGGAACGAGGGGAGAGCTTTGTTAGAAGCAGTGGTGAGGTTTTTAAGCCCACAAACCTTACACCCTACTCGGAAATCAGACTAATTTGCACTAGCAACAAAAGAAAAACAGAGTTCTTGAGAAAGAGGTAATATTCGTTACAGTCACGAAAGTTTGGTAGTCTATGACCTCTTCAGTAAAGACAGAGATGGAGCTCTATATCACTGAGTTACGGCAAGACTCATGGAGAGCAAGGCCATCTTTTACGTGACTTCTTATTGTTATGATCAGAAATGATGAAAGCTTACTGGTGCTAAACAAAGAACATGGAATTTTACCCTCGGTAGTCAACTGAAAGAGAAGGATGTCGCATTTATCGTCATGTCAAGATCATGAGATAAAAAAATAAATCCTTTAAAGTGGTTTGATGGAGTTATTTAGAACTGCCTATCATGAGCTATCGCCTTGCAATAAGAGCCCATTGCCAAACTCGTCACTTTTTACCACGGTAAAAAGGCCCCGTGCAACCACACCTATTGTATTGAAATGCAAGAAACTTGCTTCAAATCAGTATCGATGTTGAAGGCACGACAAGGATTCACCGGGACCTAAGTTGAAAGCTGGGTTATGACAGGGTTCAAAAATATTATCCTCGTTCTTTACAACGTCAATTGGTATCATGGCTTCTTAATTGTTTTCTTGCCAACAGCGCATTTCCTTTAATAATCACCTCTGTAACTGGAAGGTCTTTAACAAGGGAACCACCCAAAGAAGCGTAAGTGTGCCGTATTTATATAATATCTAATGATCAAGAAATTTCTTATAACAACGGTCCTACTCTTTTTAAATTTGCTAATGACTCTACTACAGTTTTCTCCTGTCGAACAATTCATGGCATAGTCTAAAGAGGACAACATGTCCTGCAATCCAAGAATGTAAAGAACTTATCGTCAGAAGGAGAGGCAATAGCTCTTGATATACCCCGTACAGTGAGTGGAACCTCGATATAACGAAGACCCAAGGGACTGGCAAGATTTGTTCGCTACAACGAAGTTTCGTTAAATCGAGTTTCTTTTTCGTATGGTTTACTACTTCCGGGGAAAAGAAAATCGTTCGTCCTATCGAGGACTTTCTTATATAGAGGTGCGTTCAATGCAGTAGTCTTGTTCTACCGGGGGCTACGACTCAGAGTGATTGCAAGTGTAAGGCGCATGATAATATAACACTCTCAAGTAAACAAATGTCTACATGTTCTTAGGACCCTTAGAAAAGAACAATATTCACAAGCTGAAATAGATCACTTATTCACTTCCCTCGTTTTTTCTCTTCAGTGGGACTAATGCTGCTAATGGAACATGGAAAAGCTACCTACAACACATATTAAGCTAACTTCAATATCTCGGATTACACAATTCCTCCCCAATTTTATCGGGAACTATTGTTATGGTGGTCGCAATTTCGTGAAACATTTGCCATGCACTGAAGAAGGTTGGAAAAGGCCATAATCTAGAATAACAAAGAAATAAAAGTAGAAAACAAGCCTGTTTATTATAAAAAATTTGTTAATGCGAGTGTCATTTAAATTCAAGATCTTTTATTTAGTCTGAACAGTACTGATTCCTTTAATCAACTGTCTAAAAACTATGTAAAACAAATATTTTAGAATGGGCTGGCTTACGTAGGTCCATTCCATTATCACTAAGAAGTAATGACAGGTATCCCTCCATAAACTCACCAAAATTTGTGGTGGTTGACAACATTTTTGTTGTTACAAAGGGGAAATCGTCAAACTAAGGATTACTACACCCTACTTATCAAAGAAAAAGCTAAACCGCCCAATATTATTCAAAACTTGCAGAGTAACTTTCATTTTAAGCTGCCACACTCTATCGTTGTCGAATCGTATGTTAAAGCCCAGCCTTCCAGTGCAAAGTAATTAACTCAATTCTTTACACAAATACAAAGTTGTATAAAATAGGTTTTAGAACAAATGTTTTGCCGGATCTTAATATACAGGATTTCTTTATTTCTTACCTTGTTTCAATTAAAGATCTCTTAGAGGAGGCATTTTTTATGAAAGTATCCTCGACAAATAATCATCTGCTCGCTCCATATATTCCGGCTTCAAAGAAAGTCTGTTCTAAGCTGGACTTACAATCTTCGTAAAAAACAATGTGCCCGTCCTAAAATTAATCCTGAGCGTTTGATGTCTACCTTTGTAAATATACTAATATTTAAAAGCAACCTTAGTACAGGATAGTTTGGATTTAATAATCAGTTTATTTATTTTGTAATGTATTGAGCTAGATCTGTATTATTTGTTATTATTATTATTACATTTAATATTATTATTATTGTTGTATTATTTATTTTATTAATATCACGCGTGACCCAATAGAAGAAGCGGATAACTCTCTTGCTATTTACCTACGCCGAGTCATCAAGCCTGGTTTCCATATGATCGCTGCGATCGCTACGATCTCTCAAGAAGGGTTTCCATATGATCGCTAAGATCGCTGAACTTAACTTGTTTTTCAGCGATCGCAGCGATCATATCGAAACCAGGCTTTCTCGTTGCCTTCGATAAATGACTTGTGGACTTCAATCCCAGATAAAAGGCTAATTAAAGTTTAAAAATTCTTCAAAGTTGTATTAAACGTACGTCCTTCAATTATGAAAATGCGTGAAAATGGCATATATCGCTTCGGCCAATCCACGAGTTTATTCACTAAAAAACTAACATGGTGATAGAATGATAAAACAATTATTTGCCGCAGACTTCGGCTTTGGCAAATAATTGATCTGCTCGCCCACTAACAAATCATTTTTTTTTCTGGTCAACCTCGACCAATAACTGTTAATTATCACTATTTATAGGGGTCTTATCATCTTATATAATTATGAGGTGATCCCCATTATTATGGCGCATTTGTTTGCGCGTTTAATTTAAGGCGGCTAAGCTTGAAGCGTTTAGCTAAGCTACGTACTTGTGACTTGTTTCCTTTCATCCCTACCTACAATCGCCCTTCAGTTGAGTTTCATATCTGCCAACCCTCCCTCCCTTGTTTTCCATCGCGTTATGTATCTACTGAACGCCACTGCAGAATCTTTAACGCAAAAAAGAATACTACAAGCGCATTACAACGCTTTACTGAAAAAGAAACAGTGGTACTAACCAAACCTGTTTAGTCTACATCTACAGGCATGTAAACGTTTGGAGGTGAAAGTGTATATTTCAGTATACGTATAGGTTATTCATCCGTACATAAACGTCGCAAAGTGAATAAGTTAGTAAACGCGGGATAACTGTACGTCCATTTTCTGGCTTAGATACGCCCACACGTCGTACCTTTGAAAAAGCGGACGTCACAGCTCTCGAACCCACGCGCTCTCGATTAGTTGATTCCAACAAAAAAAAACCCAACACTTTCAAATTCTAATTGGAACTGGATCTGGAACGCACGGACACGTTTCAACGAGTTCTTATGAACTCCTTAGTGCTCCGTGGGTAAACAAATTACAATTTACAATTTTACAATTTACATAAAATCAGGCTGCTAGCCTCCCTGGTTGATTTCAATTGTCAAAACTGAAAGATTGAAATTTTACCAAAAAATTGAATACGTCCTATTTGATCTATGAGCGTAGCCATTATAAAGATCTGAGGTAGGTAAGGATAACAGTGCATGCATCAGCGAATCCACAAGTTTAAAGAGTAGGACTGTGATGACTGGGATTGACCTCCAGTACCTTGGACACTGTGAAATCCAAAGTCATTTTCAGTTTCATCACTGCTCTGTTCTATGAAAGAAGCCTGGTTCGCTTCTGTTATTCCAATCCCGTGATCAGCACGGCTACAGTCCTCTCCTCCCCCACCAATCATCATCACTGATCCATCACCAACACCATAGTCACACCAGAAGCCGATCTTGTTGCTGCTTTGGATGTTGCTACTACACTCAGCCTGTTGAAACCCGTCTGTTGTCTTGTATTGTCCACCATATTGAATAGTGCAGTTTCCCAGGCACCTGTCACTGGACCAATTTTTGCCATTTCTAAAGTTGCCATAACTTGTGATTTTTGATCGAAAAGTTTTTCCATCCAAACAGTTCCCTGTGGTCTGCAACAGTGGCGTGTGATTGGAATCATCACTGCGCGTGATCTTAAACTCCCCGCCTTTGAGCAGCCAAAATGCTGGTGAGATCATGTCAGCATTGACTGACGGATCAGTTGTTACTCCAGTAGCATTTCGTCGGTCATACCACCAGTCACCACTGTCTTTCATCCAGTTTTTGCCGTCATTGTTAGAGAACCGAGCAATCAACATCCAGCCCGAGTGACAGTAACTCTGAAATTGGAAGAAAATCTTTTACACGAAGGATTCCAGCTTGGTGGTTGAACAGTAAACACTAAAATTTTGATGGCAATATAATTTTCTGCCTTTTTTAAAAAAGTATTTTTTATATTATAATAATGTTTAAAAACTGAACAGTGCAATATCATCCCTCGAGCGTACACGAAAAGTCATTGGGGGGGGGGTGGTGGGGAGGGGGATGGTGCAGTGTTGATGGAACGCAAGTAAGGCAAGTAATATGATTATAATTTTGCGGGTCTGGTTAGATGGCGCTACCAAAAAAACTTCGCTCCGCTGAGAGCCTATGTGGAAAATCTATGAATTAATAACTATTCTAAACATAAATAAACTTTATAAAAGGTGAATTGTACCTTGGCGGATTGAACTGTACACCCTGAAAGATAAATAATACAAAAGTATCTAGAAGGTCATTTAAATTGCATCGCCTTCTCGAGGTATAAATAAGCAGAAAAAACAGAAGAGAACAATAATATGCACTCTGAAAAGTTAATTAATTAATTAATTAACCTCCATCCATTTCCCTATTGCTAATGCTGAGACTATTGCTAGTTATTCACTCGGGCTATCATGGTTCATGTTTAAATTTGTTTCTTTCTTGGCATATTTGTCTGCTTTCTATTCAATTTATTGGTTTCGGGTGTTTCAGTAACATACACCAATGTATTTTCCGTGACCTACAATGATTCTTAAAGCATTTGGTTTTTACCAACTTGGCAGGAATCTGGTACATTATATGACTGCGGAGAGGACGGCAGTAGTGGGTTAGCGATGTTTTAGGCCTTTTCTTTATAGATTTAATTAACTTTTTGAGTGGCATAAATTAACACCGATAACGTCATGCATCTCATTAAGATAGGATGATGTAATAGTTTATTTTCAGGTGGCAAGGAGCAAGAGACGTAAGAATACCAAGCATTGACGTCATCAAAATGTTGTGATCATAATCTCTCAATAGAAAAGTGATAGCATGTCCCTATTTGGTCATGAGTTTGTCATATTTATTCAGGTAAGATGATATCAAAAGAAGGAAAACGGGGGTTAGGCGAGGGCGAAATCGTGCTGATTTTTTCGGGAAAAACATGAAAACGAGGCCGAAGGGCAGCGAAGCGAAAAACTTCCTGTCAATCAAAAATAAGTCAAGGTTTTATAAAACTTAACAAACGACGTTTCTACCGATCTTCGGTCATTTTCAAGTAAGTAAGAAAAAAGTTAAAGAATTAGCATATAAAAGTGTAAGGTGTAAAAAAGGTACAAAGGTACTTAATGTCGCTTTATACTAATGTTACACAAGTTTTGAGTTCACAAATTCCACAAATACTATATAAAACCAGCAGTTGAACTGACTGTTGAACTCAATACTTGTGTAACATTAGTATAAACTAAAGCGACATTTCAAGTACCTTTGTCCCTCTCTCAGGGTACTTTTTTGTGTAGTCATATCTGCACTATTCATTGGCATACTAGTATAAAGCGACATTTCTTTAAGCCATTTTGTCTTCCTGGAAATTCCCCAATCTGGCAACAAATTCCAGGAAAAAGGGCGTGGCCCTCCCCCAAACTGAATGTCAAATTCAAAACGTATTTGCCACACCCAAAAACCATTTTGAAAATTCCAATCAGAAAAAATGCTGATGTCACCAAATTTAAAATCCCCCCCTCAGGGCGTGGGGGTATCGGGACCAACCGTCTTAAATGGGCCTCCCAAATGGCCCCCATTTGATGCATTAATATAGGTGAAATGAGTGGTGAAAAAACCGGAAAAACCTGAAAATTCAAAATCGTTCAAATGGAGGACGAAACCCCCTAGTTGTATGGTATATGGGGTGTATTTGGGACACAAACGTTGTGAGTGTCTCGATACCCCCATGTACTATACTACTGTGGTGGTGGTCGTGGTGTGGTGGAGGTGGTGGAGGAAAGCAATAGAAATGTGGTGGTGGTGGAGGAAAACTATAGAATTTTATGGCCTTCGAACCTATATAAATGTGCAACATCCTACCATTTTCTCAGTCTACATTCTGCTCCTGAGGAGTTGACACGAGTTGGTTCTGTTCCGTTTGCGAAAAATCTTTTAGTAGAAAGGATAGCATGCAAAGGCACGTGATGTCTAAACACCGCAATGCTGGTGTCACACCATTTCAAACAGTTTCAATGTCTTCACGGAAATGTCAGCGGTTGCACTTCGCGCATCCTTTCACCTTCATGATTGCAGGAATGACCGGGTCCGTAAAAACAGCCTGGGTTCGATCTCTATTACAATAAGCGTCAGAGGCAATTTACCCTCCCCTGGTGAGGATCGTTTGGTGTTATTCACAATGGCAACCTGCGTATACAGAAATGCTAGTCGCCATGCCACACATTGATTTCTTCAAGGGACCTCCTACGGCTTTGAAGCAGGATTCCTATTTTGATGTGAAGAAAGTGAATTTGATCGTGTTTGATGATCAGATGATTGACGCCAGTAAAGACAAGCGATTTGTGAACCTCTTTACTCGTGGTTTTCATCATCGAAATCTAAGCGTGATTTATATCGTGCAGAATCTATTTCATCAGGGGAAAGGTAGTCGCAGCATAACAGGCTAAATAGTCATTATTTGGTGCTATTCAAGAATCCACGAGACAAATTGCAAATCTTGACTCTGGCCAAGCAGATGTATCCTGGGCAAACTGATTTCTTTTTTAATCAGTGCTAATAGGCTATAAAAAGACCTTATCGTTTTCTGCTGATTGATCCGAAAACCACCACACAAGATATTTGTCGACTGCGAACAAGCGACCTGCCTATTGAAGAAGTTTTTAACCAAGCAGGGTTTCATGACAATATTTCTCAAGAGCTTTTAAAATATCTAAAGCAGCAAAATCTTTTGCCTGTCCCGCTTCTTCCAGCTATGCAAGAAATACAAGGCAACATGGATGACGTGCTTTCTCGAAACGATCCTAGGGACGATGAAAAGCTAAGCGGTACCTTCAAATGCAAAACAGATACCTGGCTTTTAAAGAACAATTAAATACAAGAACACGACCGGAAGAAATAAACAGCACTGTTCCAGACTTAAAATCAAGCACACAAGATTCTTCGACAGCAACGGCAGCATTATCAACTCCCCTTCAACGTAACACCTAAATTAACACAAGCGGCTATCTTACAAAAACCTGAAAAAGAAAGCTCCACCCCACCACCACCCTTAAATCCTGCTTTCCTGACCCCTCCTCCCACAGTAGAAACCCCATCACAAGCCCCGAAGTGCAAAAGGCGTCGGATTCAATTTGGAAAGTACTTGGATGATGTTAATGATGCTTATGGCAAGCAGAAGAAACGAACCCGGCATAAGAAAGCTCGAGTCAAACCTTACAAGTACTCCATATAACGGGCAAAGGATATGACTGATTTTTCATTCCTTTCAAATAGCTGTGTATTTGACTCTTTTTGTCATTGGTTTTCAATAAAGTTTAAAAAAAATAAAGTTTCTAAAATGGTGTCTCGTGTCTGGTTTTATTGCGAAAATCAATTTATTTGTCGCGTGTTTCAATTGATCCTTGTTAAGCTATTAATTGTTTTGTGTTTTTATAATAATAAGTCAAGGTTCTGCCTTGGCGTTTTTACTGTGGAGCCAATTTGTATGAAACTGTGGGCTTGTTAAAGGGGCTATGTCACCCCACACGCATGCGCGAGCCAATGAAAACAAACTTGAAAAAGTTGGCCCGTCTTTTTCAAGTTCTGTCGGAGATTTTGGAAGGCTGTTTTTATCTGTCTAAATCTCAGCCATTGCTCGATAGTTAGCGAAGTTTTGTATTAAGAATCGTTCTATGGTGATTACAGAATAATTTTTTGGCGTTATTTTGAAATTGTTTGCCTGTGGAATGTTTTTACGTGGATTCACTGTGTCCTCTTATCAGCGGCCGTTGTAATGGCAGAGTTAATGACGGCTACTCCACGATGAGTGATGGAATCTTTGATGGAATCTTTCCTATAGTTCACAGAACCTTTCTATTGAGTTATTTTAGAGGTTGCTGGCTCTTGGATTTTTCTTGTGCTCAAAATATGTGGACATATAATGAAGCGGCTATCGAGTTGGCGGCGGCCGTTTTTGGTAAACGATTACAAGAGCATCAGGCCATGAGTTTCGCGACCAAACGAAACTCCTGGCGAAGGAAACATTATAAAATTCGGCTAGATTCCTTCTTGTATTTATATGGATTCACGGCAAAGATAAACACGACCGTTTGCTCGTCCAGATTGTTCTCAACGGACTTAGAGAGGCGCCTTAGTACGAGTTAGATCCTGTAAATGCCATGTTTTTGAACTGTTTGTGTTCGAGCATATTTTTGGAAAATAGCAGAGTCTACTTTTCCTTTTTATCAACGGACTGCTTATAGTGGAGTAGTATACCAATGATGCTTGGTTCTGTTTTTCTCGATTCGGCACGATCGAACAATTTTGCGCGATAATGTATGTTTCCCTAAGATCAAAACAAAGACTTGATGTCTCTTGTTCGATCAGCATCTAAATTATGAAATCACTAGCGACAGATAAGTCTAATTGTTAATGATTTGAAACAGTCTTGGTCTTTATCTTCGGTGTAGCGTCTTTTGTAGCTCGTTTGTAAAATACAACTTCGATTTATTTTGTTGAATAAGACAATATGTTGTTGTTGAATTTTTGTTTGCGCACTATTTTATGAATGGCATGCGTTTTTACGCCAAAACTACAAGTAAAATTGTCGTCACAATTTTATTCTTGATCTAGCATAACCAAAGAAGAAACGTTCCGTAAATTCTATCGAAATATCCCTTATCTAAACCTATTTCGCTTGTTAACCTCTCTAAATTCGGAGCCTTGGACGTGACAGAGAACAAGGAGAAAGTCACGCGTTAAAAACAATAGAATTTTGACAGTTGAAAGTAATTTGCATAACCTCAGAGCGCATGCTTTCCAGCTGACATAGCCCCTTTAACTCGCATAATTAACTGACAAACGGCGCGTGAAACAAGACAATAAACTCACCAAGGGCTGAGACTTCAATAGAGACTTCAATAGTTAGTCGTTTCCTCTAGATAGAACGGAGAAAATGGTTTTGTAATGGTCAGTCAAAACTGAAATAAAGAGTTTTCAGCTTCACTTTCTGTATCTTTTGTGTGTTCTTTGTTTATATATCCGATTTTTTTAGCGCTAAATAGAAGACATAAGTCGTTTCTCGCGTTGCTAAGAGATCTCACCTCTTATTCATATTTTTTTATAGACGTTCCATTCATTAGGTACCAGAATGGAGTTTATTTAAAAACCAAAAGAGTAAGGGTTTACTTTAGAACCACCTGTTGCTTTCTATAGGATTTGTATACCTTCTACAATACTTTCTACAGAGTCAAGTAAACAAAGATTGACATTTTTGATTGACAGGCAGTTTTTTGCTTTGCTGCGCTTCGAACTCGTTTTCATGTTTTGCCCGAAAAAATCAGCACGATTTCACATTCGCCTAACCCCTTTTTCTTCTTTTGATATCATCTTACCTGAATAAATATGACAACATCATGACCAAGTAGGGACATGATATCACTTTTCTATTTATAGATTATGATCTCAACATTTTTTGATGACTTCAACCCTTGGGTATTCTGACGTCACTTGCTTCTTGCCATCTGAAAATAAACTATGACATCATCCTATATTAATAACGACGTTATCGGTGTTAATTTATGCCACTCAAAAAGTTAATTAAATCCACAAAGAAAAGGCCTAAAACATCCCTAACGCACTATTGACGGCATGTATAGTCCGCGACACAAAAATGCTTTTATTAGTCACTGAAAATAAAAATCAATATGAGCGATTGAGCCATCGTCAAAAATGTTTTTGTCAGTTGATCAGGTCAATTTATACAGGGTGTCCCAAAAGTTCGTCCCTCTTATTTCATGCTCTATAACGTTTGATCAAAATTAAATTTTAACATGAAATTGCTACGAGATGTTGATTGCTCTACCAAGTACTTGTATGCAGAAGTTCAGTATCCTGCATGCCCTCTTTTGTTTTTTTTATCACATTCTGTAGCCGTTGCAGCATCGGATGGGACGTGTCATGCAGCGTGTATAGATCCAGATGATCCATTTTAAACTTTTTTGTCACCTGGTATGCAAAAGGCATTTCAACCCCCAAACAATATAATCTCTCAGATTAGGCAGCTGAAACAAATATTTCGACGTTCATCCAAAAAAGGCCGTAATCATCCCACCAGCTTCTTTCCACAGTAAGGCTTTTGTACTTCGTTTCAAATTTGAGACAAGCTGAACGTTGCTTGGCGGACAGAGAGGAGGTTTTTTTGCAATCTCGGGGGTCTCAAAACTTCGCTTATAACATAGCGCGCGTGCTTGCCCTATATAACTCCTATTGAGCCGCTATGAACAAAATCTTTATTTACGCACGCCCGTGCGTAAATAAGATGACGTGAGCATTTTTTTTTACCTGGGTGCAAAGTTGTCGTCTTTTAAGCTGTAGTACCCTTTTCCTTCTCTTTAGAATATGGAAGAAACCAGCCAAGAACTGCCCAATTTTTCTATCGGCATTGACCTTTTAGGTCCTGATCCAACCAGCAGCAAAAATAAAGCCGAATTAAAATAAAAAATCTCGCAAGTTGCGCGCCGTTCGCAAATTTGTCGAAGACCAGCTGCAGCAAATTTTGGCCGAAAGACATTCACTGGGAACAGAACAGACACCAACTGGTCACCAACAACATTTAAAGGCAAAATTTCCGTTTTTATTGCTGTTTTTAAATTTGTTATGCACTTTTGTTATCTCCGGACAATCCGACTGAAGCAGGAAAATTTCTATCGCAATAACAACACAAATTACACAAGAAGACATAAATTTATTACTCACAAAAACAACTGCTGCCAGGTCTCCTCAAGAAGCCGTAATGACCAGCCAATGTTCGTAAATGAATATAAGTTTAAAGAAGGATGACAGTCGTCTTCACTAAAAACATGTTTTCTAGATTTCGCCGAGCAAAACGTAAACATCTTTTCAGCAAATCCAAATCATACTCCACGACTTCTTATGAACATGTTAGTTTTAACTTTAGGTGAACTTTAAGACTCTTTTACCTTTGTTTCTGCTTAGTTTCCATTGATCGTTAACGAATAAAGAAGCAAATTTTCTTTCTCACCTTTACAGAAAGGATATTTTCATTCAAACTAGACGATTGTGGCGTGTTCATAATCAGCCAATAGAACCGTTTGTTATTGTGTCATACGTTAAGAGAATTTTGCAGTTAATCAAAAAGCATGCATTTTTGTGAGCTATGTTATAAAAGAATTTGCTCATGCTTTTAGCTGTGCGTATATCGAGTTATGGATGCACTTGGGAAGTTTGGAGAGCACTCAAGAAGCTAGAGTTGCACTCGGCTATCGCCTCGTGCAACTCTTACGCATCTTTCGTGCTCTCCAAACTTCCCGCGTGCATCCATAACTCGATATACGCACGCTAAGCATGAACAAATTCTTAATTTTCATGACCATGCTCCTGACTTAACGTGCTAAACTGTTGTGAGAGCTACCTCGTCGAATTTCCTCTTTTGTGCCTAGCCTTCTTTAAAACTACTTTTAATATTAGCTACTTTCGGTCTTCCCCGTCGTTTATTGTCTTCAAAACATTAATTTTATTTCTCGATGAGACCATTTTACCAACTAACATTCGGATTTTTTCAGTTATTTTAGCATTGTTTTTACTAATAAGGCAGTAGATAGAAGTATAAATGCTTATGATCTCATGTAGCTGAGAGTTTTTGGTTCATCCGCCTTCATGTTAATCACAAAAGACAAGGAAAGAGTTAGAGCAATTCGGGCTACAAAATACAAAGAAAATGTGGTGGGAATTTATGCACGCGCGAGCGCAACTTTGGCGTGAAAATAGACAAATCGAATGTTTCACCCAAAAGAAGGCACAACGATTATGAAATATTTAATTAGATTGAAAGTACACGATTTTCTTATCAAGTCCATTCGTACTGAATTACGGACTTATAAAGTAGAGGAGCCAACTTTTGGGTCACCCTGTTTATTTTCGGTGGCTGGGAGAGTACCCATTTGTGCTCATAAAACTTGAAGAAAACTCACTCATGGCGTTAGTGGCTATTTTAACAGAAACAAATTATTATGTGACGTGGACAATAATAAGGGTCCATGACTTAGAAAGATTATTACAAAGAAGATCTGTGATCAGTCGAAATGACCTTGCTTTTTGCTTCATCCGGAAATATTTGCAATCATGTTTTATTTTTAAAAGACATTAGACAGCGTCGGGACGTTAAAAAAATTGTCTATGACAAATAACATTACCTGTAAAAATTACTTCAGACGTTGCTTCCGATATTCCAAACTGGTTGGATGCACGACAAGTGTATTCCCCAGCCCTCTCTCTTCTCGCACTTCTTATGGTGAGGCATCCATCCTTCTGGAAATATGGGAGCGAGGCGAGAGCTGTTCCTGATCGTGACCACGCCACGAGACCATCTGCCTCACAACAGAGCTTCACGGTGGATCCTACGTCCGCAAACACTTGAGGTGGAGGCTTTCTTGTTAATATCGGTGATGCTGTATTGATGTGATCAGCAAAAGAAATAATGAGGATTCTTCCTAGGTTAAAGATCTGATAGCGATATATCTAAGACATCTTGGTAATGACAATCTAAGCTAAAATAAACAAATAGTGGTGACGAGAACGGCGTCAAAAACAAACGCAAAACAACAATTTTGCAAGTGCATAATTTCCAGCCGCATTTCTTTGTCAATAACTGCAAGACAACGACGTCACTTGAAAACATCTGATGTCGCGATCCGATCCGAACGACAGCGTAACTGTATTTTGCGACGACTCAAAAAACGGCTGAGAAGGAGACTAGGACGACAGAGCGAGACAAGCAAAGCTGAGGATCGACACAAAACGATCGCGCTCAAATGGAGACGATCCGGACAATTGTATTATAATCAAGTCTTTAGAATTCAACTCTAGAAAGCAACTTTTGCTTGGAAATTTATCTTAAATTAAATTATATGCATGAATTCAAGTAAAAGAAATTGTAAACAACACCATCTATAACTCTCTTTGTCGTACCACAAAGTAATTACCGTTCTGCAATAAAGCCATGGAAGGAGAGGTGTCTTACCTTTTATTCCTAGAGTGGTCACTGCTCGGAATATTCCATAACTAGTGACGACCGTACACAAGTATGATCCAGTGTGTGATCTTTGGACATAACTGATATGAAGAATACCATTTGCTGTACTAATGTCCCGGAGCACGTTACCTTCCAACTTGCGCCAGGTTATTTTCTTAAACGATTGACCTTGAACCCAACAATAAAAAGTTGCCGGCTTGTTTAGAAACACATACTGAGATTCTGGAGAAACAAATATTTTGGGGGGAACAACACATTCGCCTTTTGGTCCTTGAATACCAGTAAAGCCTCTGTTTCCTTTGTTTCCTTTAAATCCAACAGAGCCTTTTTCGCCTGGTGGGCCCATACGCCCAGTGTCTCCTTTTGCTCCACGGGAACCAACAGCTCCTTCTTCGCCTTTCTCTCCGTTGGATCCCTGCGACCCTGTAGGCCCTTGTTTTCCCCTGATGCCTTGAGTTCCCGTGAGGCCTTTAGGACCACGAGGGCCAGTTTTCCCAGGTGCTCCTTTTTCTCCCTTGTATCCAGGGTACCCAAGGGCACCTTTTTCTCCCTTGAGTCCCTGTTGACCTGTTTGACAGAGCTTATCAGCTGTGCTGCACACTTGTGTGAATTTCTTGTCGATTTCCTGGCGAATTTGCTGTAAAGATAATGCACCAGCTGTCGGGGCTATATTTCGTCTTTCTCGTAGATGCTGACCTGGAACGCTTTCTACGGTTTCTTGAAAATCTGTTAAGAAAAAAACAGGAACTCACCTTCTGAGCGTCAGATTTCACGCGACCTCTGATGACCATTGCGGTAAAAAAAAAACAGTTAATTGGACATCTGTCCTTGCCCACAGACTATAAATGTATGAACTACATACTATATACCAAATATTAAGTTTTAACGCCGTCGGACAAACATAATCATTTTAGATAAACATACCGTAGAGATGAAGATGAGGCGCGTATGGTATACCAAGTTGACTGAAACTTTAGGCGAAAACTTTTATTTAAATTTTATACAAACCCAGCTGAAACTAGTACCTTGGCATTAATTAAACCTTATGCATGAAAACGCTAGTCGTTGACCAAATTTAAAATGATGTGTGATTTTTCTCCTCGGCAACAATAAACAATTCCCCATGATACTTAGTTAATGGTTTAAAGCGATCTTTGGGCGAATTATTTTTTTGTAGACATTTAAAATTAACATAATGAAGTGTCAAGCGGTTAATCCTGATCGTAAGTGCTCCCGAGTGCTTGTGCTACGTCCTGTATATTCAAAAACAGTAGTTCTAGACTTACCCACGCTTGCATAAACTCTTGAATCTCCTGTCGTAGTTTTTCCCTCTGTCAGTAACATCTCCTTCACAATAGTCTGTACTTTCCTTTGCATTTCGTCTTCGATTCGCTGAATTCGCTTTACAAGTTTTGCTTCCATCACCTCTGCCTTCCTATGTACAACCTCTATCCTCACAAACATCAACCCAAAGAGGAACAACGACATAGCAAAGATCACCAATGATTCTCTTTTGGAGAACTTGGTGAAACATGATTTGGACCCTTCTTCCATTATGCTTGGTAATAGTAATTATTGCGCTGTGTTTGCGGCGCGAACGGAAATCAAGGTCTGGCAAGACTATCATTTGCGCAAGCTCTTAACACAAATATCGATTTCAAGAGGCTGTAAACAACTTATTAGTAGCTATATTAAGCTTCATGTGGTAGAAAAATCTTTTCACAGTTGCTGGCCCTGGCTGAAGCGCGCTTTTTTAGATCAAGCAGCTCACGTTTTTGACCCTCAGTGCCAAATGATGAGTCAGACAATAACATACAGTATGCCAAATTTAGCATTCTGATAAGCTTCGCTGAGACACTTAGATGCGTCGAAAACATTGCTGCGGGCATTTTCACCCATTTTATCCGAGATAAAGTATTATTCATGACCCGAAACTGATGTATGTGGCATTTCACTCTCTTGCGATTTACCTAAGCCATACATATTCTTTACCATTTACTTTAATTTTTTGTAGCCAACGATTCTACTACGCACGTCCTTTAATCAGCATTTCTTTTTTGGCCTTGTTTAATTTTTTTCTTCTTTCAGCAGTTTTGTTTCTTCCCTTAACACGTACACATGTTGGGCTACAATTGTAGCCTGCCAGGAAGCTCTCCATTTCATAAGGGAGTCGCGAAAAGTCATGCCTGAGCGTCACGTGACAGGAGACGCGGGAACGAGGGGAGAGCTTTGCTAGAAGCAGTGGTGAGGTTTTTAGGGCCACAAACCTTACACCCTACTCCGAAATCAGACTAATTTGCAGTAGCAACAAAGGAGAAAAAACACATTTCTTGAGAAAGAGGTGATAGATTCGTTACAGCCACGAAACTTTGGTAGTCTATGGCCTCTTGAAGACAGGGATGGCGTACTATCCCGGGGGGGGGTACTTTTGGAATTTCTGGGTGGGGATGTGCCCTGGAACCCTTAACCTATACCAGAGCTACGTAGTTCAGCTGAATTTTGGTACCCCATACTAGAGGAAACTCCCCAAATTCCCTCTATCCTAGAGTAGCTGTTTCCCTAGTCTAGATAAAATCTTCAACCAACTGATCAGTTTCCTGAAAAAATGATACCCTATTTTAGACCCAAACGCTCTGATTTATATACCCTATCCTAGAGTAAACTGCTTGAAAACGATACCCGTTACAGCGGCATTTACCTATATATGGCAGTACCCCTCTCCCCCCGGGCGCTATATACACTGAGTTACGGAAAGACTCATGGAGAGCAAGGCCACCTTAAAGAGGTTCATACGTGACATGCTGCTGTTATGATCACAAATGATGAAAGCTTACTGGTGGTCATTTAATAAGAACCTTTATTTATTACCTTTGGCGATAAGAATTACGGTAATATTACGATAAAAATTCAAAACACTACATATTATATATACATATCAAATTAAGTTAAGTTTAGCACCTCAAGGAATAAACAATTGTTTGTGGTAAACAAAGAACAGGGAATTTTAGCCTCGGTAGTAAACTAAAAGAGAAGGATGTCGTATTTATCGTCATGTCAAGTTCACGTGATAAAAAAAAATAAATCCTTTAAAGTGGTTTGATGGAGTTGTTTAGAACTTCCTAGCATGGGCTATCACCTTGCAAGAAGAGCCCATGGCCAAACTCGTCACAACAACTTGTAATCCAAAAATCGTTTTAAATGACCACAGCACTAGCCTGTGTAAAGAGGGGGGGAGGGTCTGTACACAGGCTACCACAGTACGAGAAAGTGCGAGTCTTTATCGTTGCCTTCGAACAATGACTAGCCTGCGAGCCGCAGACGTATTTTCGGTCGTCGCTTCTCTCCCTCCGAAAAAATTTTTGGATGCTCTCGCTGGCTAAACAATGACTTGTGCATGTGGACTTTGATCTTAGATCAAAGGATAATGATTCACTACAATCCTCCAATGCAGACGCGGAAGGGGAATATGTAAGATAAGATGACGGTTAGAAAAAATGCATTAAGTGACTAAAAACAGTTCCTTGTAAACCAAGAGAGAATGCCGTAAACCCGTTATCCGGTATTCGTCCCTCACTTCCGCATCACTTAAAATTAAGTACCAGTTTTACTCGATTAAACACCGCACAAAGTTAGAAGAATGCTCCATTTATTGGAGGATTTCAAGATAAAACTCCCGGCAGTAATGTACACCATTCAGCGGACAATTTTAAAGATTCAATCTCAGCAAAAGAGCGAGTCATTAGAGCAGTTTAAACGTGATCTATCTGTTTCGTTCAAATGATATTTAATGTCAGTGATTTTACAGAATAATACGATTTTGAAATAAACGCCACCCTTGAATAAACAACCCATCGGAAACGCTAAAAACCCAACAAGCGCCGAGGCGCTTAATCGAGTAGACGCTAAAGTCAATCCCATCAGGTGAGCAGGCGCACGATAACTGGCTGCCATTCAGATCTAGCCAAAATACTGATCCACAGCTGTTTTAAAGAAGAAACAAAGTACCATGGGCCTGATTCTTGAAAGTCCCGGGAGCAAGGCTCAATTAATACTATATTTTAAAGTCAAACTCTAAAGAATGCTAGTGTGGTTTTTCACCTCCTAACCAGCCTAATTTTCTTTTTCTTGATATTAAATGAATTCAAAAACACGGCAAACTTAAAACAGCCTTCTGGGCACTGCTATTATCGGCACCTACGAGAAACGGGTCCTCGTTATGACCTTAACACTACGGATATGTTATTGACCAATTCAAGGGTTGCCCGGCCGATATTGGCCAAATTTTATTAGAACCCGAATTGTAATTGATACATACAGTCATCTTCACCGATATGATCAAGCAATTTTTTTTTAGTCGTGGGAACAATGTAGGCAATCCCGAGGGGACTCACAAGACACTTTATTGCCGTTTTAAACTAAACAAAATAGTTCAGTTTGGATGTAAGACCTGCTAGATCCTACCCGGAAATAGTATAAGATATAAGGTTATTATTCGTCAATTTTCAGATGCAACGGAAGCCGTATTATTCCGAGTGGACAATTGAATGGCTAAATGCTTCTGGACATAACAACTAGATACGATTACCGCAACACTGAATAACATTTATTTAACAAAAAATAACTTCCTTGACTCCAAAAAATGCCCGTTTAGAATAAAGGCAAAAATCAGGTGGTAAAGTTTTTAAATAACCCTTGATTTAGGCTAAGTTTTTAAACCCTTAGAAAGTTACATTTATGGAAAATTTTAAGCCGTGGCCTTTTGCATTTTAAATGGCGGTGAATGGCTAAATGTTCCTAGGTTGAATAACATTTATAAAACAAAAACTTCTTTGACCGCACAAAATACTCGTTTGGAATAAAAGCAAAGATCTGGTGGGGAAGGTTTTTGATAACTCTTACATGATTATATATATCCCTCGAGATCCCGACCATAAAAAAGCATCCAGTCTGCCAATCGTTCGAAAGTTTCCTTTTGGAAGTAATTTTACGACCATGGCCTTCCGAATTCTTTATACCGGATCCAGTGTTTGCGGCGCGAACGGAAATTACGGTCTGGCAAGACTATCATTTGAGTAAGCTCTTAACACAAATATCGATTTCAAGAAGCTATAAACAATTTATTAGTAGCTATATTAAGGACAAGGTATGGGCATAACAAGTGTCAGTTTACTGCTAGAAGGTATCCTATTGAGACCTCTAAGATTAATGGCTTTTCCTGACCTTATCGGCGGTTGATAAGCAAATATAATGAAATGGACTTTATGTCGTGCAAAGCAAATCATTACATTTAGATGAAACGTTGCCAAATACAAGACATGACCCAAGACAGGTAATTAAAACAGCCAAGAGATCAAAGAAAAAGGAATTCCTTACATTGTTTGTTCAGCTCTTTGCTTCATCTGGTAAAAAAATGTTTTCACAGTTGCTGATCAGGGGCACCCAACGACGGTTTCCTCCCAAATAAACTGAAAACACTTTTTGAGGCTATCCAAAGTCCTTTTAGATCCCTAGAAGTGCATTCCAAGCGGGGATATAAAATTTGTAACTGTTCGGTCATCGTTAATAAAGGAACTTGAGTCTTTTCGAAATTACAAGAGCTTCAGTATTATTTTCCCGAAAATTTGAGAGGCAATTTAACTTATTGCCAAAGTGTCTGATTTCTCTTTCCATCAAATTTTTTAATCCGAAAATTTTAGGTTTGAATTTCTCTACGAAAAATAGCCTAACCTAGAGAGTGAATGTGAAAAGTTAAACTTAAGAATTCGAAGGGAATTTCAGTTATTAGATAAGCTTTGAAAATTCTGCATAAATGGAACGGCCATCTAGAACTTTTTAGCCGTCCTCAAGTAATAGAGAATTCTAGGTAATATTTGCTTCTCCGAACACATTTTACAGTAAACAGTTGTTGTTGGGTGCCCCTGGCTGATGCGCGCTTTCTTAGATTAAGCAGCTCACGTTTTTGACCTTCAGGCCAAATGATGAGTCAGACAAGGACAAACAGTATGCCAAATTTAGCTTCTGATAAGCTTCGCTGAGACAGTTAGCATTGCTTCGGGCATTTTCACCCATTTTATCCGAAATAAAAGTACTATTCATTGTCCGAAAATGACTACGTATGTGGCATTTCACTCTCTTGCGAGCCATACATTACTCTTTACCATTCACTTTTAATTTTTGTAGTCAATGATTCTAGTACGCACGTCTTTTAATCAGCTGGTTTGTGGCCCTGTTTATTCGTTTTCTTCTTTTTAGCAGTTTTGTTTCTTTCCTTAACACGTACACATGTTGGGCTAGGCTGCCAGCAAGCTCTCCATTTCATAGGAGAGTCGCGAAAAGTCATGCCTGAGCGTCACCTGACAGGAGACACAGGAAAGAGGGGAGAGCTTTGTTAGACGCAGTGGTGAGGTTTTAAGCCCACAAACCTTATACCCTACTCGGAAATCAGACTAATTCGCACTAACAACAAAGGAAAATGCAGAGTTCTTGAGAAAGAGGTAATATTCGTTACAGTCACGAAAGTTGGGTAGTCTATGCTCTATATCACTGAGTTACGGAAAGACTCATGGAGAGCAAGGCCATCTTTAAGAGGTTCATACGTGACTTCTTATTGTTTTGATCAGAAATGATGA